GACGAGAGGGGTGGAACATAAGCTGGACGACTGGAGGCTGGTTCGAAGGACGTGCCTGGGCTCGCTGGAACAAGAGACGCTGGCGGAGGACCTCCATGGTGGGAGGCTGCTTTGCCGGTGAGGCAAATGCATACATTTCCAGGGCCATCACCTTGGAAGGGTGCTGTACATGCGAGGACTCGAGCTCGATGAGGTACCGGCACAGGGCGATACACGCCCGAGGTGCTAATTTCCACACATTTGCGCACCCAAAGGATTCGCTTGTGGCGGTCGATAGCGCGCTCACCGGCAAGGCCTTGGGCGATCTGCAGGGCGTGCGACTCCTTGCCGTTCTCAAGGAAGATGTTCCGCATGGGGCCAGATTCCCTCATGATGATTATGCGGAATTTTCCTGGCGTGGTATCACGCTTGAAGAAACGCTAGACTTGGGGTACAATGGAGTTGTCGAAGAACGACAGGAGCTTCGAGAGCTGGCGGGATCGGCCGTTGTCGACTGCCTTACCCAGCATCTGGAGAGGCTTCGTTGTTATGAAGTCCCGAACTCAGTTGATTCATGTTGCGATGAGAACAGCATCTTGGTCCCTCAGTTCATAGGGAGTGCGCTCGTCGGTGTGCCTGGCCGAAGACATAGCTAGTAGGGGATAGATTAAAAACTTATAAAGAAATGAAAAATTCTCCTTAGGGAAAGTATACGAAACAGTTAATGACAGGTATTCGATATGTATCTATACGAGGCTACAAATGTATCACTTTGGTGGCACTGTGACGGTGGGATAAGCGAGTATCTAAAAGAAAATTTGCGAGTGTGCGACGGGTGTAGGTGATACGTTCTTGCAGCGCGTAGTGGGGCAACCGGTTAGGGTTGGGCTGATCACGAATCTATGGAATGCCAATCTCGGGCACTGAAGCGGAAGCTGATCTCCTTGTTGGGCGCCGAAGGATTATGGGAATCCGCCCAGGCAGCATATCAGGGAAGCTAGGCTGGCTAGGTCTTACACAACGTTCAAAATTAAAATCTAGCGCAGTGCCATCCCCGTCCCGGGGGCGCGTAGCCATTTGTATTAAATTTACTGTTTAGGGATTTGCTATACTATTTTGGAGGTTATGGGTTCGTTTCTTGTTTTTGGGTGTTGGTTGATCCAGACCCTCTCTGCTTTCGGTCTACTAAAACTGACACTTCGCGAGCGCTATTTTTATATATGAAAGTATACTGAAGACATCTATGCCGTGGGCAAGGATGGTATCAGACTACTCTGCTTTTAAGAAGTTAAAGCTCGGGTATGTAGGAATAAACGTTTTTGAAAGGCGAACGCTGGGAGAGCTGGCTGCCATATTTGGAGTCGGTCAGAATAGGCGGCAAAACAAAAGTATCTAGTCGAGTTCATATCCAGGAAGCCTATAGCCATGGAGATACCTGGCAGACATCAGTAGGCAGCTTAATGTGATTCGCCTCACCAAGGAACGGAGCTAGACGCATTCAACACGTTCCCAGTTGTAGAGTCTGAGATTGGTGAAATTGTAAGTGCGATGTACTCTCATTAACTGCGTAGCACATCAGGGTGTTGGTTGCGTACGGATAGCTTATACACCACCCAAGGATTGTCAGACAGTTTATAGCTAGACTATAGAGCTAAGGCTAAAATAGCATGCGGCCCATCGCAGACGATGACAGCCCACCGAGCGAGAGCGATAACGCCATCAGCATAGTTTATGAAGCCATACTTCTCGTGGTTATCTACAGATCTCCGATTGTATGGGCAAGCGTTGTTGGACATAGATACAAGCATAGACTAGCTAATTACCAGCACAAAGGTACGGCTCTTTATAGTTCCAGCCTCATTCTTACGTAACACGTGTAAAAAACATATACACACGATATATATAAATATAAATATATATACACACTTTAGCTTATGATGTTTATTTGATTGAAATTGAAGTCGATACCACAATCATGATAGATGATCAAGGATACTCTCTATTCATCCGTCATTGCATCTGTGAGTGAAGGAGACAACAAACGTGTGTACAATTAGTGAGTGCTCAACAGATGTTCGATACGGTTTGTGGTATGATATGGAACGCATTTGTGGACATCTAACAAACGAGTTGACAATAAGTGTGAGATCAGCAGTTCATTGATACGAGGGACTGCACTGGAAGTACAGAGTATGATATTTAACATGGACATGTGACAAACCAAGTATTGTATAGACATAACCCCAAAAGCGACAGAGGTTCGTTCTCGTGGACTCAATGGTTCAGTCGCGCACAGAGTGTCAGCTGAGACTAATATTGACCACATACACATAAACTACAAACGATACGGAACAGATTCAAATACATACACAATATATGAGCATACATATACATACATATACACATAGGCACAGGCACACGCATATACATAAATACAAATATACATACCCTATAACGCAAACGCATAAGCTATACATATAGAAAAACATACCCCCATCAGCAGCGGGAGTTTCCGTCGCGGTGGTATCCGTGGTAGTGGTTTCAGGCACAGCAGAGTCGGCTGTGGCAGTTTCTGTTGCGGCCTTTGTAGTCGCGTCCTTCTTGGGTCGTCCCGATCTTCGGGGCGGGCCACCTAAAACATATAGTTTTGGAGTAAACATCAATTCTAGGGCTGTACTCTCTAAGCCCCACAAAACACGCAGCTTACAACACCAGCCATGTCTATGCACACACAAATAAAAAGAACAAAGTTCACATAACTAGCTCTCCTTCCAGGCAGGTATCTATGATGTCGAAACTCGAGATAGAACAGTGTGAATACATGCTCATTGAACGCCAGGGTATCATACAGACACACAGATACTCGCATGCGCACAACTACTGACAGACAATTGCAGATATCACCTACCACAGCATACATATATATAAGTGAACCTTTGCCGTACAAAATGATACTGTAACATAATGATACTATAGTATAACAATAACAATAACAATAGCAATAACAATATTGTATCAACGGATATATGCATATGGAACCAATTGTCGAGGATATCCAGGTAGCAAGCTAGTACTTCTCTCTTAAAAGAAGAATCGTTTTGGCCCACAAAAGCTACAGTTGTATACAGATACATAGATTAAATTTAGACATACACGTATTAATCGTAATGTGTGGATATGGATATGAATATATATATATATATATAAATACATACACACACACACAGACATATACATATCTATAATGTATATATACATACCTTCATCAAGATTATCGAGATATGACGTGAGCTCTTCTCCCTCAAGGATGGTGAATGATTCGTCTTTGCCCACAATTCCAACAGACGCATTGGCAGTGGTCAATTCTGTGCCGTTGGGCAAAGAGTCTCTAAGTGCTCGAAGTCCGTGACGGATCAAGGCAGTCCTCTCAGCTGTACATTTTGTGAATGAGAATGTGTATATATGTGTGTTAGCATGTTCTCAACACAGACACAGACACAGACAGACAGACACACACATATATATAATCAAGTGTGTATAATCTGGATATTACAATATGTGCGTATTGGTGGTGATGAGATCTGTACCATTACAAACAGTCTTGATGTGCGCGATGACCATGGAAGATCAATAAACACCTCTCAGTTGTATGTACGGTTGTGAGATATAATACCACTAGTGACAATTTGCAATGGATATTCAATATAAGTGAATTTTAGACGTGGGTGCCCAGCGATAGATTCTGATGATTAAAATACTAATTGAACAGGAAAAAAACACATGAATATATATATATATATGTATATATATACATACATACATACATACATATATACATAAATATACATATGTATAAGCATGTATGTACATGCATACATAAATAGACATACACTAACATTATAACACATATATATATATATTAGTGCGCACTAACGTAAGGAAAAACACATACCATCAGGGAAGTCTTCCAGTTGACGTTCCAGGTAGGTACGTGCCGATTGCGAGCGCGCGCCAATGGCCATGGCTTTGCAGTCGAAGAAATTGGCGGACGGGCACAAGTGGTACAGATGGGGTCCATTGTCCTGTGATATTATACAGTACAAGGTATTCCAGGTGTATAAGCAGATACGCATGCCACAGATATATACATACATACATACACACATATATATATATACTTACATGCATATGTATATGCATATACATATACACCTAGACGTGCATATATACATGCATACATACAAAGACACACACACATATATATATATATGTATGAACTATATCGATAAAAAGCACTAACATAAGTGGTACAGAGGGGTCCATGATTCCGTGCAGTGATTCAGCACAAATTATTGTAGGTATTTCATGCAGATGTGCAAGTTGTGTCAGTGTATAAAAATATATATACACAAAAATAATATGCGCAGATTAGGCTCATTGTCTCATGTGATGATTCAGCAAACAGCACTCTAGGTGTGGACGCAGATCATATACATAACCACGCCATCCAGTCTTCGTCTAAATCGCCCAATGTGCTCACCAGTCGAACATATGCACAGGCACAGGAACAGGCATAGTCACAGGCATAGTCGCATGCATATATATATATATATATGTATGTATATATGCATTCATACATACATACATTATATATATATACTATATATATATATATATGTATGTATATATGCATTTATACATATATTTATACATACATTATTTATATATATATATATATGTATGTATATATGCATTTATACATATATTTATACATACATTATATATATAAACATATACAGACAGCAGTATAAACATATGAGAATACAACTATCACATCCACTCACATACATCATAGCCCACAATTAGCTGCCCCACGCCGTACGGTCTGCGTCCGTATCGCTGTGTAGTGATCTGTGCCTTGTCGCCCAACGTAGTGACCAGTCGAATGGTCGGTAGAGGGCAGTCAAACACGTACTTGTTGTTAAGACATTCACTTCGCATAAACTTGGTGAGCACCCGCGCGTCTGACGTCAATCCCGCAATGGCCGTCCCGATATGGTCGTCTATTTTTAGAAGCTTCTTCTGATGTGCAGATAACTCGCTGGCTGGTCGCTGTTGGAGCGGAAGTGGATGAGATATAAATATACGAAGGAGGATATAGGGGACTGGGAAGATTGATCACTATACTTCAATGTAACTATGATCTGAAACGTTCTTTACATATATTTTGGCCGGTAGGTGAAACACACTGAGCTGATGTTGTATTTAACGTATACTAAAAAGTGAACAAGTTCAAAAGAATATGTATGCAAACCAATCGTGCATGTTCCACCTAAAGTCGAGTTATATGTAATATCACAATAGCGACAGTTAGAACAAGGATACCTCTCTCCTCCATATGGATTGACTCTTTATATAAATATATCATAGACTAACCATCGGGCGAATGAATATGGGTGCTGAAATACAGATCCACCTGGCACATATACGCGTAAATGCCGGCAAGAATAAATACAAATACATATACATATATACATACATACATATAAATATATATATGCTTATATATGATGTATATATATATAATATATATATATATATATATCCATATACATATAGGTGTGTGTGTGTATGTGTGATACAAGCCAATGCCAAATGCATAGGTCTTTGATTTAAGTACATATACATATAGATATAAATACATCTACAATACATATACACACTACCATACACATGCAAGCTTTCACAGTCGCATACACATATGTGGTTGCAGGTTCATACCTTGAGGCCAAAGAGTGCGGCGTGGGTCTTTGATTTGATACCTACAGCACACGATCCTTGGTTAACGGCTTCCATCGCATACTCAATCTGGTGGATGCGTCCTTGTGGACTCCATGTGGTAATGTCGTTGTCATACTGGTTGCGAAACTGGAGAAAATGGATGAAGGAATAAGGTGAGATGTGGGAATATATGAAAACAAACGTATGAATGAATGTTGATCTATAGAAATACAGCCGTATATGTGCACGAAAATAGTAAGTCAGGAGGAGGTATGTGTACATATACCAGCGCGTGCCCTGTCTATGTATGCATGCATATTGCATATGTATATGTATGTATCTTGTCTACATATATATATATATATGTCTACTTCAATATATATACCTATACATATGAATATAAATTATTAAACCTATATATATATATATATAAATTTGTACGAATATATAAATATACAAATAAATAGATGTATAAATAAATACATATATAAACACACATATATATATAAACTATATATATGTATATGTATATACTATATATATATATATATACATATGTATATATACATTTACATACATACATACATACATACGTACATATATATATATATATATATACTTTTGTGAGAATATATATATTAAAATATATGCTTTTGTTGTGTACATATGTGAATATATATATATATATAAATTATATATATATATATATATATATATATATACATCCATATATATTTATAAAATTATATATATTTATAAAATATATATGTATATGTATATACATATATATATGTATATTTAGTATATGTATATACATTTATATATGTATATTTATATACTTATTATATATATATATATATATATTTATATGTAGATATAGATATATATACATTATATTTGGATATATATATATATATACATATACATTATATTTAGAGAGAGAGAGAGATATATATATATATATAATGTATATATAAATATATATATTTACATATACATGTATAAACATATATATATACTGTATACTATATATATGTATATGTACTAACTATATATATATATATATATACATATGTATATATACATATACATACAAACATAAATACATACATACGTACATATATATATATATATATATACACTTTGTGTGTACATATGTGAATATATATTATATATATATGCTTTGAGTGTACATATGTGA